CCCCGGCTTACCACAGCGCCTTTCCCTCACCCTCTGTGTAAACAGCCCTGCCCTGCTCCAGGCCACAGACGGCTCCACGTGGACCAAGCCTCTGTGCGCAAAGCACCCAGCGGCGGCCCCAGCATCCCAGCGCGACCGCCGTCAGGAAAGCAGAGGCTGCAGCAGGGGTCCTCCAGCACCTCCCACCTACCTGCAGTGACAGGGTGCGGAGCAGCAGCAGGGCTCTGGGGAGCGGAGCGGTCAGAGCACGCTTTGATGCTTCCCTCCCCAGCGGGAGCGGATTCCGGGTCTCAAGGGCCATAAAACGCCTCCAGATGTTCCGGTCATCAATGACACCAAACCCTGACGCCCCCCATAGAGCTGTTACCCGTGGGGACAGAGAGCACAGGGCTTCCAGCACGGGCTTTGCCGGCCGCAGAGGTGCGGGGAAGGAACCCTCGCTCTCTGCTCAGCCCTTCCAGGAAGCCGCGTTTCCTCCGAGGTTCACACAAGGGCTCTGGGGCCACAAAAGGAAACCAAAGCGGTGCGGAGCAAAGCGGGCACGGCCCAGGGCAGGAGGCAGGGAGCTGCACTCAGGTGGAAGAGCCTCGGCGCAGCCTCCTCCCTTACCTGGAGCCCAGGCTCTGCCTCTTGCCCCGTCAAACTCCCCCTGGCCCCATCCCATCGGCTCCCGAGGCGGGCGCTGCTCCCCCCATCCTCTCACCCCCCCGTTCCCCGTGGCCCGGCCGCCCCCAGGCTCCGCTTCGGCGCTGCTCGGGCTCGGGCAGCTCCGCTCCGCTCCGCTCCGCACCCCCTCCTCCTCCTCCTCCTCCTCCTCCTGCTCCTGCTCCTGCTCCTGCTCCCGCCCGGGGCCGGGCAGCGGCAGCCGCACGCGGAAGCCGAATCCCTGCGGGCTCCAGGTGAGAGCCGGGGCCGGGAGCGGCGGCTCCGCGGGACCCTGCGGCGCTCCCCGGGGCGAGGAGGGAGGCTCCGCTCCGCCGGGCTCGGCTCGGCTCGGCTCGGCTCCGCCATGCAGGTAGGACGCGGGACCCGCTCCCGGGGGGGTTTGCAGGACCCGGAGCCAGCCGCAGCCCGGGCACACGGGGCACAGCGCGCTCGGGCGCTGCCGCTTTCAGCCTTCGGAGCGCTCTGTGCCCGGCAGAGCCCCCGATCCCCTTCCCGGGGAGCGACCTCATTCCCCCCCCCGTGACAGGGGCACGGGTGTGCGGTGCCGGCTCTGCCACCCCCCCTGCACGGGGACCGAGCGCCACACAGCAGCCGAGGTGCCGCGGGGTCACCCATGGCCCCACGCGTTGGCACCAGAGCACAGGGGTGCCAGGGGATGGTCTGACAGAGACCGGGTCTTCAGCTCGGATAAAACCCGGAAGAGGCACTTAGAGCTGCGAGGTGACGGCCCCGGAGCACCTCAGAAGGGGAGAGGGGAGATGAGGCTTGTTTCTTTAGCTAGAAAAGACAAGGTGTGGGTTTCTCCCACCCAGAAAGGCAGGGAGACTCAAGGGTGCGTCTCGTGAATGCCCGCGTGTGTCAGTGACCTGCTCCATGAGACTGACAGGCTCCTTGGGAAACGATGAGGTAAAGCTGGAAGTGCTCTGAGCCATCACAGTGCGCATCCTGAGACAGGAGGGATTTGATCATCCCGGTGTGGGAGACGGGAACCACCCAAACCCTCCCTGGGCCCCGGTTAGGAAATAAAACAAGGACAGGAGATGCCACCCAGGTGCATTGCTTCAGTTACTCACTCAGGTGAGTGCATTCCAGCCCAGGAGTGCCTGCTCCCCTTTCCCTGGATCCGATAACCCCACACAGGGCAGGGGGTACCTGGTCTGTACCATAGGGACCAGGACCCCCTGATAGAGCAGCAGAGAAACCTGCTCCGGGGCAGGGAAACCCTCTTTGACACTGAAATCCCTGCTTCTCCTTGTGCCGGCTGCTTCTCCCGCACCTTTGCACAGCACAATTCCAGCCCCAGGGCAGGAAAGAGGGAAAGGCCCCGTCCTCAGTGATAACAGGGATTAGAGTCCAGGGTTTATCCAGCAGCCCCAAGCAGGGTGGCCCTGCCTGCACATGGGACCGACCCGCCTGCCCTGTGCTGTGGAGTGAAGCCATCACCGGCAGGGTCCTGGTCCCTGGGATGGGAAGTGAATGGATGCAGGAGAATGAGGGACCCCGAGCCCTGCTGCAGGATTCAGCTGCCTCCAAGCCACGTCCAGCCCCAGGCCAGGCCGGGCTCCTGCACAAGCAGCCACGGCTCAAAGCTGCCTTTGCCCTGCGATGGATCCAACTTGCTGCGATGCTGCTCTCCCATCACCAGGGTGTGCACATCCCACCCTGCACTGATGCAGGGTTTAGCGGTTACCCCACAGAGCTGGGCACCGGGGGTGGCCTGTGCTAAACAACCCACAGATTCCTGCCCGGTTCCAGCCCTGTGCACCAGGCACTAAATCCCATCACTGTGGGAGCACAGAGGGATGCCAGGTCCTGCTAACCTGACATCCTTAACACCTACACATGTGTACATGGGTGGCCCGAGCAGCATCCCAGAGCTGGGGAGGGACTCTTCGTTAGGGGCTGTAGTGACAGGACAAGGGGTAACGGGTTCAAACTGAAATAGGGGAAGTTTAGATTGGATCTAAGGAGGAAATTCTTTCCTGTGAGGGTGCTGAGGCACTGGAATGGGTTGCCCAGGGAGGTTGTGAATGCTCCATCCCTGGCAGTGTTCAAGGCCAGGTTGGACAGAGCCTTGGGTGCCATGGTTTAGTGTGAGGTGTCCCTGCCCATGGCAGGGGGGTTGGAACTGGATGATCTTAAGGTCCTTTCCTACCCTAACTGTTCCTTGATTCTATGATTCTTGGGGTTTGACTGGAAAATCAGGGTGCACCAAGTCCCTGATGGGATTAGAAATCAGGGATTGCTACTGCAGGCAGGTGGGGAAGCAGGGCAGGAGCTGGCTGCTTCAGGTCAGGGACCAGCAGGTTATGACTGGGAGCGCTGATGGAGGAGGATGCTCTGGGGATGCTCTGCAGGCTCAGCCCCAGTGCCCTCAGGGAAGGTCCCGAGGCACAAGCAGGGGCTGGCAGCTCCATCAGGGACAAGGTTCCAGTAGGCCAGCCTGGCTGCACAAAGCCCCGTGGCTGGATACATCCCACTGTGAGCCTACCTTGGCAATCCCATCCGCAGCTCCCCAGGAAAGGGATGCACTGGTCAGGATGCTTCAGCTCCGGAGCAGGGAACCGTGCTGTAGGTGGTGGAGCTGGGGGTCACCTGAAAGAGAAGCTGATACCAGCAGGTCCATGCACCCCATCTTGAGCTGCTGGGGTCAGCAGCAGCAGGGCAGAGGTGCCGAGGGGCATTAGAACACCTTAAAACCCTTGCTGCCAAAGGGTGGGTTCCCCTCCGCAGCCCCAGGCAGGGAATCCCGGCAGGATGAGGCTGACAGGGACCAGCCGGGCAGCAACGGGATAGATCAGCACCAGCATCAGAGCCGCAGCAATGGGGCAGAGCCCAATGAGGCTCAGCACCAGCATCAGAGCCGCAGCAATGGGGCAGAGCCCAATGAGGCTCCCATCTGCTGCACTGGGCCCAGAGAGGGGCTCTGAGCCAGGGACATGGAGCTGCTGCACCCACCACGGGTTTACCCCCCCGGGGAGACCAACCCAGGCCAAAGCCCAATTACCCCAACCCCCAAACCTGCTTATGGCTTTGGCAGGGCAGAGGATGCGCTTTAACCCCCCACCGCCCCCATCCTGCCCCAAATCGGGTGCCTTCAGCAGTGAGGAGCTCTGGTTCCTGTTGAACAGCCCCTGGGGGAGAGCAGCCCCCTTCCCACCTCGTCTCCGCTGCCTCCTTGCGGCTCTGCTGCTCTGGGTGACGCCTGGTCCCAGATCCTCGTGTGTGGGCGCGCTTCATCCCTCCCCTCATCCCGGGCTCTGCCGCTCCCACGGCCCCGTTCCCCAGCGAACGCTCTGGAGCCAGATCTTACATCAGGGCAGGGTTGCACCAGAGCTTGCAGCCGGATGAACTCGTCTGCCCGGCCCCGGTCCAGGGCACGGTGTCCTCGGTGGCCGCACTGGTACTCATGGTAGCCCCTTCCCCTGGCAGCCCCGTGCCCTCGGGAGCAGCAGCGCGTCTGTGCGGCCGCAGCGGATCGCAAACCCCGCTCCCAAAACGCTGGGTTTAAGGCAGGATCCACTGCCCTGTTCCCAGCACCATCCACGGAGCGTGTCCTTACCAAACCCACTGCAGTCACTGGGACCTGGAGCCTGACACACTCCTGCACGTCCCCTCTTGCCCAAGAGGGAGCTGTGGCTGCAGAACCAGGCAGGATGAGATCACACCAGGGGAGCCAGGCACCGAGGACAGGGACAAAGGGGTCTGAAGCTGATGCGCCCCAGCTCTGGGTGCCCACCGGCCCCGGGCCACCCAGGGGTGCTCAATGCAGCATCCCTCAGCAGAGGGACGGGGAATCACAGCGGGCACTTTGCTCTGTGCCCCCCCAGAGCCGCCCCACTGGGGTGCCTGAGCCTGGAGCAGGGAGGGGGAGCATCCGTGTTCACCCCTTTCTCTGGGGCCAGTAGCCCACAGGAGGTGCCCAGGCAGACCAAGCACCAGCAGCTCACCCTCCCCGCTGCCCCTTGGCCACAGGCAGAGGCATCCATGGCATTTCCCAAGGATTGGGAACATCATCACAACGTAAAACTCCCTTTCCCACTCACCTCAACACCCCAACAGTGCCCTGGGTGACAGGAGCACCCAGTAAAGGACTGAGCAAGCCACTGCAGCAGGGACAGAGGGGCCAAGCACTGACCCTCTTCAGGTACAAACACTGGGGCATTGGGTGAAACAAGGGGTGAAGTCCAGAGCAGAGGGAGGGTTTCTCCCCTGCGGTACCCTGACATCCCCAGTGTGAGCAGACATGGGACGTGAGGAGGCTGCGCACTCATCCAGGATCCCAACAGAGCTGGATGTGGCTCAGGAACACCCCACACTGGAGACAGGAGCGTATGGAGAAGGCTCCGGACAAGCCTGCTCTCACCCTCTCCGTGGGCATGGGCAGGGAAGCAGCCGGTGGGCCTCCAGCTGACGCTGGGATGCAGTTTCAGCTGCACGGGCTCTTCTGATGCACCACAGCCTGGTCCCGACGCCCGCAGCAGGCTCTGCTCTGGGCATCCCGGTGTCACGCACGCATCCGCAGGGAGAGGTTTGCTCCGTGCCCGGCCACGGAGCCTGCTGAGACCTCCGGGGTTTTCTCTTGCCAGGATGAGATCCTGCTGACCCCCTGGAGGGATTTTCCTGTGGAAGATGTGGAATCTGCCCCCTCCCTGGTGAGTTCTGCTCCCTCCGCACCCAGAGAGCTCAGCACAGCCCAGAGGGGCAGAGCCAAGGCAGCAGCTGCCTCCGTTTCCCCAGCAGAGGGGCCTCACACACAGTCATGATCGAGCCCCAAACCCCGGAGAGCCTGGAGCAGGGAGCGCTGTCCCCTTGCCACCCCGTTAATTCCCTGCTGGTTTCTATGGGCAGGAGGAAGAGAAGTGGGATTTTGTCCTGGTGAGCGACATCCATGAAGTGGGCAGCGAGAGGGAGATCAAGAGGAAGAAGTTCCTGGATGAGCTGAGCAAGAAGGGGTTCACCATCAAGGTGAGGAACAGGCACTTGGCTCTGCCACGGTACCCAGGATCCAGGCTGGCTTGGGCTCCTGCATCCCAGGACATGGGGGAGACCTGAACCATTGAGCCCATCAGTGCTGGAAAATGAACCGCTTGCCCAAGGGGGCCTTGCAGCTCTGCCCCATCCCTGTTCTGCTCCATTCCCTGTTCTGCCCCATCCCTGCTCTGCCCCATTCCCACTCTGCCCCATCCCTGCTCTGCCCCATTCCCTGCTCTGCCCCATTCCCTGCTCTGCCCCATTCCCTGCTGTGCCCCATCCCTGCTCTGCCCCATTCCCTGCTCTGCCCCATTCCCTGCTCTGCCCCATCCCTGCTCTGCCCCATTCCCTGCTCTGCCCCATCCCTGCTCTGCCCCATTCCCTGTTCTGCCCCATCCCTGCAGTTTCCTCCCATCCCTTCTCTCCTGCCATTAGAAAATCGAGGACCAGAAGCTCTTCTATGGGGTCCGTGCCCCGAAGCTCCTCTTCCGGCAGTACCAGTGGCTCCTGAGGAACCCCGACAGCCGGCAGCAGAGCCCCGACGCCCACCACGATGTAGCGGTGACCACGAGGTGGGTGCTGAGCTGGACGCTCACCGCCAGCACCCTGTGCTTCCCTCTCCCCACACCAGCACCCCCCTTGCAGCAGGGCCTGGCTTTCCGTGCTCCACAAAGCGCCCAACAGCCGGATTCCCATTGCTTCCCCGCTTCCTTCCCTGGATTTTGGTGCCCACCTTCTCCCTTCCCTCCCTGGTTCTCCAGGGCCCCACAACACACGCACTACAAGTAGTGCACACGTGCCCGTATCCCCAGAGCAGCCTTTATCCACGCTCTCTCCCTGCTCAGGATACGGATCGTGAACTTCATCCTGCAGAACACGGTGACGCCCGAGCTCGGTAAGGGAATGGGGCTGGAGGGATCTGCACAAGGCTCCTGCCCCATGGTGGGCACAGGCACCCTGGGGGCATGCAGCGGGGGGACAAAGCCGGGGCGCAGCTCAGACACAGAACTTGTGCTGCATCTGGAGGCTGGGACACCGGGAGTGCAGGACCCAGCTGCAGCCCCTACTCCCTCTCCCAAGCCCATCGCTGCTCCTGGTGTCCGCAGAGGAGCTGGTCCCTCCCTGGCACCCCAGGATGAGCACTCAGGGCGCTGGCTCTGAGCATCCACCCCAGTCCAAGCAGGCTCTCGGGGCGCTGGCTCTGAGCATTCACCCCAGTACAAGCAGGCTCTGAGCATCCACCCCAGTCCAAGCAGGCTCTGAGCATCCACCCCAGTCCAAGCAGGCTCTGAGCATTCACCCCAGTCCAAGCAGGCTCTGAGCATCCACCCCAGTCCAAGCAGGCTCTGAGCATCCACCCCAGTCCAAGCAGGCTCTGAGCATTCACCCCAGTCCAAGCAGGCTCTGAGCATCCACCCCAGTACAAGCAGACTCTGAGCATCCACCCCAGTACAAGCAGACTCTGAGCATCCACCCCAGTACAAGCAGACTCTGAGCATCCACCCCAGTCCAAGCAGGCTCTGAGCATCCAGCCCAGTACAAGCAGGCTCTCGGGGCGCTGTCTCTGAGCATCCATTCCAGTACAAGCAGATTCTGAGCATCCACCCCAGTCCAAGCAGGCTCTGAGCATCCACCCCAGTCCAAGCCGGCTCTCGGGGCGCTGGCTCTCTGGCTCTGAGCCCTCCTGGCTCGCTCCCAGCCCAGCGCCGCCCGTGCCGCAGCAGCACACCCGCAGGGATTAGCGCTGATCCCAGCCTCTCCCAGGCTTCCGTCTGCTGCCCTCCGAGGCGCGGGGTGCTCCTGCCTGGCAGGGCAGAGCAGAGCCCCACTGCCCCCCCCTCTGCCTCCAGAGAAGCTGCAGGACCTGATCAAGAAGAAGGTTTTCGAGGCCGCGTTTCCCCTGCACGAGGTGAGGCCGAGCACACGGCGATGGGGCACGGCCACGGGCACGGGAGGTGCAGGAGCAAGAACGGGGGAGCCGCTGGGTCAGCCAGGGCTGCCTGTGGATGAGGGCACAGCAGAGCTCCCAGCGGCAGCCTGGGCATCACAGAGCCATGAATCAGCCAGGCTGGAAAAGCCCTTCCAGCTCATCCAGCCCAAGCATTCCCTATCACTGCCAAGGCCACCACTGCCCCATGGCACTGAGGCCTCGTCTCCTCGGTGTGTGAGCACTTGCGGGGCCGGTGCCTGCAGCCCTGCCCTGGGCAGCCTGTTCCAATGCCTGAGCACCCTCTGGGGCAGGAATTGTTCCTCAGCTCCATGTGAACCTGCCCTGGTGCAGCTTGAGGCCGTTTCGTCCCATCCCTTGCCCGGGTATTGAGGCTCTCCGGATGTTCCTGTGCCCGACCGAGTTCTCTGCTCCGCAGAAAGGAGAGCTGAGCGAATTCCTGAAGGAGAAATGGGCTCGCTGGAGAGTTATCTTCTGCCGCCAGCCCATCGAGAAGATCAGGTAACGCAGCACGAGAGGCCCAGGGCGTCCCTCAGCGAAGGTCCCACCTGAAACCCGGGAGCTTTATGCCCTTTATGCTCCTGTTCCCATCATTACCTTGAGCCTGGCCCCCCCTCAAGCACTGGGCTCCCTCTGAAGCCTGAGAGCTCTTTGCCAGGGGCCCTCGCTACGGCACCAGCTCCATTTGCTCATCCTGCAGCATCCAACAGCCCCGCAGACACAAGGGTTTAATGGGCCCCTGGGTTTCCAACCGCAATCAAAGGGGAGGTGAGGCGGGAGCAGAGCATCAGAGGCTGAGCCTGGGGCCACGTTAGCACTGCGGGAAGAGCACGGCGCTTGGCTCAAGGGGAGGAAGGAGCAGCCGTGCTCGGGAAGGAGGGCAGAGGCACACGCACATCCCTGCGGTGTCAGGGGGCTGGGCAAGGCAGGGGAAGGGCTCAGCACCGCCGGGCAGTGAATTCCCTGGACCAGAGGAGGGCAGGCCGAGCCATCGGTACTTGCCATCCTCCTCGCCCATCCCAACCCGCACCGGAGCTAAGGGGATGCTGCCTCCAGGAGGCAGGGAAAGCATCGCGGGGGGGGCTGAGCCACCACAGCCCGCACCCCCCGCAAGCCTGGCATACCCAGAACTGTTCTGCAGGCACCGGTTGCAGCTTGGGCCCTCCCCATCCCCACCTCCCTGACCTGGCGCACACCGGTCCCACAGGCTCTCCCCTTCCCTCCCTCCTTCATGGAAAGGCAGGAGCAGCAGCCATGGGACCATACCCCCTTCCTATCAGTGACAGCAGCTCCCCTGTGCACATTAACGGGGGGGGGGGGGGGGGGGAAGAAAGCAAAAGGGAAAGAAAAGGCCACCAGGAGACCCCCAGCTCTTTTTCCTGCTGAAATCCCCTGGGAATGCTGCATAGAACCATAGAATAGTTAGGATTGGAAAGGACCTTAAGAGCATTCAGTTCCAATCCCCCTGCATCCTGAAGCTCCTCTCCAGCCAGGCTGACTCTCCCCATCCCCATCCCAAGCCCCAGGCACAGGCATCACCACACCTGGACCCTCACCCTTGGGGCTGTGAGCATCCGTGGGGCTGAGAGCATCCCGTGAGGCTGTGAGCATCCCGTGGGGCCCAGCATCCCATGGGGCCGTGAGCACCCCACGGGGCATCCCATGGGGCTGTGAGCATCCCGTGGAGCATCCCATGGGGCCGAGCATCCCTTGGGGCTGTGAGCATCCCGTGGAGCATCCCGTGGGGCCGTGAGCAGCCCGTGGAGCATCCCGTGGGGCCGTGAGCAGCCCGTGGAGCATCCCATGGGGCCGAGCATCCCTTGGGGCTGTGAGCAGCCCGTGGAGCATCCCTTGGGGCTGTGAGCATCCCGTGGAGCAGCCCGTGGGGCTGTGAGCATCCCGTGGAGGACCCCATGGGGCCGTGAGCATCCCGCGGTGCCCGCTGTCCCCCCCAGGTGGTACTTCGGGGAGAAGGCAGCGCTGTACTTCGCCTGGCTGGGCTGGTACACGTTCCTGCTGGGCATCGCCGCCGCCGCCGGGCTCCTGGTGTTCGTGGCGGGGATTACGATGTTCAACTCCAGCCAGGTGAGGTAAGGCCTCGGGACCGCCGGGCGCACCCCGCGGGGCTCGGGGCCGGGCCGCCCCCTTTGCTCCCCTCTGCCCCTTCCTCTCCTTGCAGCAAGGAGATCTGCGAGGCCACGGGCACCATCATGTGCCCGCTCTGCGACCAGCAGTGCCCCTTCTGGCGCCTCTCCGACACCTGCACCTATGCCAGGGTACGCAGCCCCTTCCCAAGGCAGCCCCTTCCTTCCCGAGGCAGGCTGCCCCTTTCCTTTCCTTCCCTTCCCTTCCCTTCCATTTCTCCTTTCCCTTTTTCCTTTCCTTTCCCCTCCTTTCCCCTTTCTCCTTTCCTTTCCCCTCCTTTCCCTTTCCTTTCCCTTTCCCTCCCCGAGGCAGGCTCATGGTACGGGATGGGAAACGCTCCCAGCTCGTGCTGCCCCAAACCCCCGGGAACTAAACCCACCCCAACAAACCAACTGCAGCACACAGGAAAACCCCACTGAGCCCTGTACTGAGGAGGAGGAGCACGGAGATCACGGTCTCCATCACCAACAAAGTCCCACCGTCCATCCCCCTCCTGCAGCATCTCTGCCTGCCTCGAGGGGATCAGGGTGGCGAGAGCCCCCCCCAGCCCCGAGGTGCCCCTGCACCCATCACCATGTTCCTCGTCCCCCCAGGTCACCCACATGATCGACAACGAGGGGACAGTCCTGTTTGCCATGTTCATGGCCATCTGGGGTAGGTGCCTGCGGCTTGGTGCCAAGCACACACAGCAGGAAAGAAGGGGCAACCTCATGTGGCTTGGGGGGAGGAAGAGGGGACTCCAATGCAGCTTCACCACGCAGCAGCTTTCACATCCACCTCCAGGGCCAGGCCCTCCCCTCCCAGCCAAGGCAAGGCACAGAATCCCCTTCAGCACCCCCTACCTCAAAGCTCTGCCCCCTTCATTCACCACAGCCCCCTCATGGCTTTTATAAGGCTCTATGAGTGGGTGTTATGGGGCAGCTGCCCGGGATGGGGGGCAGCTGCAGGGAGGAGGGGCCAGCAGACCCTCATCAGCCTCCCCAGGCTGCTCCATCACCTCTCAGCTGCGCTGGAACGAGCCCAGCAGATCCCTGTGCTCTGAGCTGACGTGGTCCCATCACCCCATAGAACCAGAGAGCGGTTTAGGCTGGAAGGGACCCTAGAGATCATCCATGACCCTACCGGCTACCCATCTCGTTTGCCTTACTACGGCAGTTACAAGCAGCACTGCAGGTGTAGGCACTGGCTCTCCACTGCACAGCCATGGTCTGAGCACCGTGGATGGGGTCTGTGCGCTGCTGTGGGGCGGTTGACACAGGGGTGAGCTCCGGGAGGTTACTCCACAGGACAAGGGGGGGGAAAGGGGCTTACAGAGGCGCAGCGCGGGATGTGAAGCCTGAACACCATCGGCCTGTTCCACTCGAGGGATATTGTCCGTTAACCCAGACGTGTGTGCCTGGCACCATGCAAAGCGCTCACCGGGTTCATGCCCCGTGCTGCAGACACTGGGGCTGGTGACATCCATCCCCATCCCCACACGGTGCCGCGTGTCCAGGTCCCGTTGGGGGGTAACACGATGCCCACCCCGCAGAGGGGTGACTCCAGAGCCACCCCAGTGTCACCGCGCTCCCTCCTTGCCCCACAGCCACCGTGTTCCTGGAGCTGTGGAAGAGGCAGAGAGCCAGAGTGGTCACCGACTGGGACCTGTACCGCTGGGATGAGGAGGAGGTGAGGATGCGTCTCCCCTGCTTCCAGCAGGAGCTATGGCAGCTATGCTTCAGCTGGAGCCATGGAAAAGCCCCGTCACAGGGACCCCTTTGCCCAGCTCCATTCTCTGGAGATGGAACAGCTAACGGAGGCACAAACAGCAAAGCCCACATCTGGCAGCCCTGGGAGAGACAGAGCCCTGCAGAGGGCTGAGCACACAGCAGCCACCTCACCCGCACAAGGGCTTGAACTCATCCAGCTCTGGCCTCACTGCCTGGGCTGGGCATCCACTGCCCACCCCTGTCCTCTGGCGCTGCTCATCCCGCAGCCACCCCTGGACATCCCAGCAGCCGGGCTCTGCTCTGCTGGCTCCATCCCCATGCTCTGTCCTGCCTTTGTGTTGCAGGAGGAGCTGGCCCTGGAGCTGATCAATAACCTGCAGCACGAGCCCCGGCAGTACCAGCACTCCTACTTCCGCAGCACCATCATCCTCCTCCTGGTTCTGGTGATGGTACGTGCCGGGGACACAGGAAGACCTGGCTTTAGGGCACGTGGGCTTTCCCCCTTCCCTCCCCACTCTGCTGCAAGAGCAGCACCTCACAGTGTCCTGTGGAGGGCCCTGGCACAGGGTGCCCAGAGAAGCTGTGGCTGCCCCATCCCTGGCAGTGCTCAAGGCCAGGTTGGACACAGGGGCTTGGAGCAAGCTGCTCCAGTGGAAGGGATCCCTGGAGCTGGAGGAGCTTTAAGGTCTCTTCCAACCCAAACCATTCCATGATATAGGAACAATTTGAGGCCATGCCCAGATGAGCTCTGTGAAGGGGGAAACTGGGGTTGAAGGGCTGGTGGTGCTCAGGGGGCTGGTGATGCTCAGGGGCTGATGGAGCTCAGGCACTGGTGATGCTCAGGCATTGGTGGTGCTCGGGGGGCTGGTGGAGCTCAGGGGGCTGATGGAGCTCAGGGGGCTGATGGAGCCATGCACTGGTGATGCTCAGGCATTGGTGGTGCTCAGGGGGCTGATAGAGCTCAGGTCCTGATGGAGCTCAGGGGGCTGATAGAGCTCAGGGGGCTGATGGAGCTCAGGCACTGGTGGTGCTCAGGGGGCTGATGGAGCTCAGGTCCTGATGGAGCTCAGGGGGCTGATGGAGCTCAGGGGGCTGATGGAGCTCAGGTCCTGATGGAGCTCAGGGGGCTGATGGAGCTCAGGCACTGGTGGTGCTCAGGGGGCTGGTGATGCTCAGGGGCTGATGGTGCTCAGGGGGCTGGTGATGCTCAGGGGCTGATGGAGCTCAGGGGGCTGATGGAGCTCAGGCCCTGGTGGAGCTCAGGGGGCTGATGGAGCTCAGGGGGCTGATGGAGCTCAGGTCCTGATGGAGCTCAGGGGGCTGATGGAGCTCAGGGGGCTGATGGAGCTCAGGCACTGGTGATGCTCAGGGGGCTGATGGAGCTCAGGGGGCTGATGGAGCTCAGGCACTGGTGATGCTCAGGCTCTGGTGGTGCTCAGGGGGCTGATGGAGCTCAGGTCCTGATGGAGCCCAGGCCCCGGTGGAGCTCAGGCCCCGGTGGAGCTCGCTGGGCTGGGACACATTCTGCCTGCACAGATCGCGGTGCTGGTCGGCATCGCGCACGCCCTCGTCATCTACCGGGTGGTGGCAACAGCGCTGTTCACGCAGAGCAGCTCCGAGCTCCTGCGCGAGCAGGCCGACACGGTGGCCGTGATGACGGGGGCCGTGCTGCACTACATCACCATCGTGGTCATGAGCAAGGTGCGGAGCGCGGCACGGCGCGGGCAGGGCGCTGCTCCGGGCTCTTCCGCCACCGACCCGCTCGTGTCCCGCAGGTCAACAGGCGCGTGGCCCTCTTCCTCTGCGACCTGGGTAAGGCTCCACACGGCGTCCCCTGGGCCCCGCGTGCAGCCACGCTCCTGCCCGCTTCCCTTCCTCCACCCCAAAGCACCCGCTGGGCACCCACGTGCGGGCAGCAGCCCCATGCGCCGCAGGCGGCTGTCCCACGGCCACATCGTGCTTTGGGGGCAGTCACCCCATAGGGCCGAGAGCCAGCGGGAGCAGGGAGCCACCGCCGCTGCAGGAGCGCTCCGTGCGCTGCCCTCCCTGCTGCAGGGCCCCTTCTGCCCCAGTCCTGGCCCGATGGAGCCGGGCTCAGCTCCGGCGCAGGGCTCGGCTGAAGGGCAGGGAAGGCTCCACAAGGGGCAGGGACTCTCCCGACCCTCAAAGAGCCGCTGTGGCACCCAAGGGGCAGCCAGGAGAAGGCCCCCCCCACGCCGTGACCAAGTCCCTGCGCTCTGCTCCCTCACGCAGAGAAGCCCCGGACCCTCTCCCAGCGCGAGAACACCTTCACCGTGAAGATCTTCACCTTCCAGTTCTTCACCAACTTCTCCTCGCTCATCTACATCGCCTTCTTCCTGGGGCGGTGAGCGGAGCCTGGGACCCCACGCGGGACCTCAGAAGGGCCGGAGTGGGCATGGGGACGCGGGAAGCCCCTCATGTCTCTATCAGAGCCCGGGGGCGATGTCCCCATCATCGGTGCTGGGGCTCAGCAGACGTCGCTGTTCCTTCCCTGCCCAGGATCAACGGGCACCCAGGGAACTACGTGCGCATCGCCGGCAAGTGGAGGCTGGAGGAGGTGATGCTCTGGCCCTCACCGCAGCTCCCGCCCTCCCTGCCCCACTGCCCAGCGGGGCAATGGGGAGCTCAGCTCCTGCCCTGGCCGCAGCCCGCGGACACAGCCCCTCTCCTCTCCCCCTCGCAGTGCCACCCCAGCGGCTGCATCACCGACCTCTTCATCCAGATGGCCATCATCATGCTGCTCAAGCAGACCATCAGCAACGTGATGGAGTACCTCAACCCGTGAGCCCTCCTCCTGCTGCTGCTCTCTGGGAAGCGGCTCCCTCCTTCCCCACGCAGCCCCGCTGAGCTGCAGGCAGCACAAAGCTCTCCCTCCCTCGCAGCTGGATACGCCACCAGCTACGCAGGAACCGCCTGCGGCGCCCCAAGAAGAGGAGGATGATGTTAGGGGAGGAAGAGGAGGCCGAGGACCCCTGCAAGAGGCAGTGGCTGAGCAATTACGAGCTCAACGAGGTCAACATCTTCAGCCTGTTTGATGAGTTCCTGGAGATGGGTACGTGGAGCAGGGGGTCAAGGAGGAGGGATGCGGGTGCAGAACCACGTCTCCCCCTTGCCTGATGAGGAGCCCCAGCGTAGACAAGGAGAGCTCTGAGACGAGCTCCATCAGCCCTGGCTCACCAAGATCATCCTCAAACAAGAGAGCAGGCAATGGCCTGGCCTTGGGCCCCTGCTCTCCTCCTGCAGTGCCAAGGGAGTGGCTGGGAGCCCAAGCTCAACCTGTGCTCTGTGGGACCCCTCCAGATCCCCCTCTCCAACAGCCCTGTGGGAGGTGGGGGTCCCCAGAACATGTCTATATCCCCCTTTCACCCCTGCAAAGCCCCCCTGGCACAAGGCAGGACAAACCCTATGGGATGTCTATGGTGTGGTGGCTGCACACCGGCACCCCGTTGCCCCTCGCAGTGATCCAGTACAGCTTCACCACCATCTTCGTGGCCGCCTTTCCCCTCGCCCCGCTGCTGGCCTTCTGCAACAACCTCTTTGAGATCCACCTGGATGCCATCAAGATGATGCGGCTGCACCGGCGCATGGTGCCCAGGAAGGCCAACGACATCGGTGAGGCAGGGCACAAGGAGCCCCCTCCTTCCTGCACCACCGCTGGTGCCAATGGTGCCAGTGCGAAGCCTTTTCCCCAGTGTGAGGCCCCTGAGCATCCCTTGGCCAGGGGCTGGCATCACTCAGAACCACAGAATCCCAGACTGGTTTGGGCTGGAAGGGACCTTAAGCTCCTCCAGCTCCAACCCCTGCCACAGGCAAGGACCCCTGCCACTGGAGCAGCTTGCTCCAAGCCCCTGTGTCCAACCTGCCCTTGAGCACTGCCAGGGATGGGGCAGCCACAGCTTCTCTGGGCACCCTGTGCCAGCGCCTCAGCACCCTCACAGGGAAGAGCTTCTGCCTTATCTCCAACCTGAGCTTCCCCTGCTCCAGTCTGACCCCATCACCCCTTGTCCTGTCCCTACAGACCCTGAACAGTGGCTGTGAGCTGCCCCAGGGCCTCACTGACCACTCCTCTCCCGCAGGAATCTGGCTGCTGGTCCTGGAGGCCATCGGCATCCTGGCTGTCATCGGGAATGGGCTGGTGATCGCCATCACCTCCGACTTCATCCCCGTGCTGGTCTACAAGTACACGTACAGCCCCTGCGTGACCGGGAACAGCACTGGCGTGGAGTGAGTGCTGCCCATCAGCCCTGCCCGCTGCAGCCCTCTTTGCAGCGCCCCTGCCTCCCTCAGTGCCACCAACACAGGGGTAGGAGGCAGTTGAGCCTTTCCCCACACCAGGATGCGGGGAAAGGGAGCAGGGGAGGGTTTCCCTGGTGGCACCTTCTTCAGCATCCCAACCAGCTCACAGCACCCCTCTGGTGGGTAAACTGGAAAGAGCACCACGTAAGGACTGGGTGCCTGCATGTGCCCTCTCCAACCCGCTCCTCTGACCTCCGAGCCTTTACTCACCGGCCAAGTCCATCAAACTGGACAGAAGCCTCAGGAACTTCCCCAGGCTTTGTGAAAACGGGCAGCCAGGGCCGGGGGGGAGCCCCAGATGGGTGCTGGCTCCCCCAGACCGGGAGGCTACAACCGGTGCTCAACCACAGTACCAGCCACCCGAGAACCCCCACACCAGGGGACCCACAGAAAGGAGAGCTGCAGCCCGACAGGCTCTGCAGCAATCAGAGACCCCGGTGTGCTGGAGCAGACACGGGAGCTGCGGGCTGGGGGTCACCACAGCCCCTGGTGCAGCCACGGACCCGCAGCCACCGTGTCCCCCCGCAGCTGCTCCACCGGTTACATCAACCACAGCCTGTCCACCTTCCGCGTCCAGGACTTCGAGTTCCACTCCAAGCTGCCCCAGCTGCCAGCAGGCTCTGTCACCAACATCACAGAGTGCAGGTAAGAGCAGCCCGCGGCCGTGGCCCAGCAGCATCGCCCAGCCCCTCGCTGGGACACCCGGCCTGGAGCCGCGGAGCAGGCGGTGGTGGGGAGGGCTGGGAGCCGGCCCCCCTCGGGTCCATGCGGAGCCGGGCACAGGGGACCCCGTGAAGCACCCACGGGGCTGCGCTGCAGGTACCGGGACTACAGGAACGCCGAGGACTACGGCTACACGGCGCAGTTCTGGCACATCTTCGCCGCCCGGCTCGCCTTCCTCATCCTCTTCGAGGTGAGCACCCGGGGGGGAGGCTGGGGTGAAGGGGGAGGATGCTGGCAGGGGAAGGGGTGGGCCCGGGGAGCTCCTCACGGCCCCTTGCTCTGCGCAGCACGTGGCTCTGTGCGTGAAGCTCATTGCAGCCTGGTACATCCCCGACGTGCCCCTGTCAGTCAAGAACACGTTCCTGGGCAGGAAGCACAGCGACCTCCGCAAGGAGCTCAGGTGGGTGATGCCCACGCTCCACACAGGGCCCAGCCTCCAGCAGGACCAGGTCCATGCGCTCCAGAGCCCCACAGCAGGGGGTCACTCACCATCAGAGGCACGGTGGGGCCGCTCCTGCCCCTGCGGCAGCTCCAGCACCCTTCTCAGGGTGGCTTTCCCCGCAGCTCCCAGCCCAGCCTCTGCTACAGCAGAACTGGCTCTTCTTAAGATGAGGTGCGTTACTCATAGCTGAGAATCCATCTCCCTCCGTGCCCGTGGCTTCACTCACTAGCTCAGTTGCCTGGTTTTAGGCACTCAAGGCCAGTGAAATGAGTCCCATGGCAAGTGTTCACCATTTAGTGCTCACCAGAGGAAGGGGCTGCTTCATTTGGGCTTTTCCTTCAGGAAAAGGAAAGCTCCGAGTTAAAACAAGACACAATTTTGCCCAAATTTTCCATTTACACTTTAAAAAACCCCACGTGAAGTCTTTCAGCTGAAACAGAACTGATGCAGCCGAGAGCCACAGCCTGGGCCGCCCCGGTGCTGCGGCCCCCACGGGCTCAGCCCTGCTCATGGTCACCACGTCCCTGCTACCACCACAAAGGCCAGGCACAAGCAGAGCTGTGTTCAGGGAGCACCACGCTGCCACTGTTCAGCCTTCAGTCCCTGGCTCCCCCTGCTGCAGGGATTTCCCACAAGCAGGGTTCTCTCCGCACCGTGTCACTCCCTTGGCAAACAGCCTGTTCCACAATCCCCATTGCTTCCCAGTCACTCGGTTCCCTTCCACCACAGCTCTCTCCTTTCCCCCCAGCATGATGGAGTACTCCACCGAGGTGTAGCCTCTGCTCCCTGAGGAGCAACACGGACTGAGGCCGTGCCGTGGGTGCAGAGGAACCACTGCAGCAGCACAACGGGCCACGTGTCCCGGCGGTGACCGGGCTTGGACGTGAGCTGGGAAGGGACAATGCGATGGTGGCTGAGCAGGAGCAGGAGGATTTCTGCCTCCACAAGGAGGAAGGCAGTCGTGGCAGAGCCAGGGAGCTGGCTGAGAAGCTGGGAGCATCCATGGGGCAGCATCCAGCGGCTGCGAGTGCTGTTGGGCTTCCTCATCGACACCGCCTCAATGCGCGGCACAGGAAGGGCATTTACCTCGCTCCAGGTTCCCTCTGCAGCTCTTCTTTTGCACTTTGGACCCTGTTTTCTCTGCCTCCAGTGACCTCTGGCTCTTGCACCACCGAGACACTCGAGTCCTTCCTCCTTCACCACGGCCAGCGCCATCCTCCTCTCAACACGGCCACCATGAGGCTGCAGCTCCAACCCCCTGCTTTCCTGGCTGCTGGAAAACCAGAGCTGTTCCCCTGACTGAGCTTTGCTCCGGGCTCAGCTGCGTCCCTGTGCCTGCCCCAAGCACCCCACAGCTGTCCCTGGCTCAACTACCACGACCAAAGCAGGAAATAAAGCTATCACCCCTGTGGAGACAGCAGCCAGGGCTTCGGCTGTGCTCACACTGGGGTCATCCCAGCCCCTCCTCTGCCACCCACAAAAACCACCCCCAAACCTGCTTCTGTCTTAAATGTGGATAACCAAAACATGCCGGAGCTGAGGCTCCCCAGGGCCACCCACAGCTGTGGGTGACTCCATAGTGTGGGTGCTGCCTGGTGAGAGGCTGAAGAGAAGTTGGTGCTGTGGCCATGCACAGTGGGAAACCGCTTGTTAAATGTGCTGGGGTGACAGAAACACTGAGCTGCACAGGCAGGGCTTTGGAGGGCTCTCCTGCTCCAAACCACGACCTGCCAGCCTGAGCCCAACACTCCTCCACCTCCTCCCTGTCTGCAGCAGGGAGCAGGGATTAGAGCCAGGCTGGACCCGTGGCACAGCAGCACTGCAGCCCATCTCACAGGGGTTGGAGCCAGGCTGGACCCGTGGCACAGCAGCACTGCAGCTCATCTCACAGGGGTTAGAGCCAGGCTGGACCCGTGGCACAGCAGCACTGCAGCCCATCTCACAGGGGTTAGAGCCAGGCTGGACACAGCAGCACTGCAGCCCATCTCATAGGGGTTAGAGCCAGGCTGGACCCGTGGCACAGCAGCACTGCAGCCCGTCTCACCCATGTGCATTCCCAGCCTCCAGCTTTGCTCTCTGCCAGGTCTGCCTTCAGCAACTCGCTTCCTGACTCCAGGCAGCTATTTGTGCTTAAGGAACAAAGTCTCTGCTCGTTGCTGCCCAGGATTGATAAAGAGCTGCCCAGGACCGATAACGTGCCCTCAGATATGTGACTTCACTCGTTGTGAGTGCAGGAACAGCCCTTTGATGCCCAGGAGGTTCCCCTCCCCTTAGGTCAGACCTGCACAGCCTCACCAAACTGGGTTTGCAAGCGTCCGGGGGAAAAGCTTTTCTCTTCAATGTCCCTAATTGCAGTTAAAGGGGAGGCAGCAGCACGGGCTGGGTGACCCCAGCTCCATTTCCAGCCTCCTTATGGTCCTTGTAAACTGGAGGACAAATCCACCAAAGCCTCTTGAAGCTTTAAAGAACTGGAAACCGTAACTGGTTTGTCAGTTTAACCCCGAGCTCCACCCTTCCATCCCCTCCTCTACAAAATGCCAAGAGGTGCCTCCTGTGCCAGAGGGGAATTCTGGGATAACCTGAACGAGATGTGGGTGCCACAGCGTGGTCGTGTGGGCGCCTGCACATGTAACAGCAGTGACAGCCACCCGCGAGCTCAGGGAGACACAGATAAGCAAACAGCACCTCAGGTCAGGAACAAGTACTTCATTAGGGCTGATTTGTCTTGTCCTGTAATTAAGAGTCCTCAGCAGCCCTGAGAGAGGAACAGGATCGTGACTCAGGGTCTGTTGCTACACGGCTCCTCATCCTGCAGCAGTATCCTCGCTTCTGGGACTTGGAAGCAAACCCCGGCTTCATATCAATGGCCTTGGAACACAGTCACCTGGCAGCTCTAAAGAGCTTTCATGTCATTAGCTTCAAGCTGTCATGCATCAGGAACTGGCTGTTAATGGGCTCACACTGTAATCCTCATTCACCCGCTGGCTCACAGGGAGCATCTTGTGCTGCAGCGATGCAGGAGGCGGCAGGGCAGGGGCTGCAGGACACAGCCTCAGCTCAGGAGGGCTCAGTGGAGGGTTCACATGCAGAGCTGGGACTCTCCACGTGCCTGAGAACCGCAGAGAAAGGCACCGGCGTTAGCTCGGCCTCACACCTCCCCTCCCAGGAGCATGGAGACCCACTTGGGATGTGGCAGGGACACATCCTGACACCAGCCCCGCTCCCAGCCCTCATTCCCGCCCTGAGACCGAAACCACCTCCACTCCTCGACTGTAACTCACCCACGCGAGGCCCTCTGACGGACAAGCAAGGCCCCACGGGCTCCCGTTCTGCTGCCAAACCCTCTCCTCGCCAGGGCTCGGGCTCGCTCGCTGCGATGAGCGCCCAGACCCGCTCACACCGCTCCGGCAGCCGGACCGCGCTGCTGCGGGCACCAGCGGGGCCCTCCCTGGAGGGGCTCGTTCAGCACCCGCGGCCCTGGCCACGCAGGCGGCTCCTCGCTGGGGGGCACGGGCCGAGGGCCCATTCCCACCGCAGCAGCGCTCCCCCGGTACCCTGCCCCACACGAGGCCCGCAGCACCGGTATCCCACACAATCCGCCCCAGCACGACTGGGGACCGGCGGCGCCCCGCCGAGCGACCGTGCGCACAGACCTACCCGCAACCCGCACGCTCGCTTCAGCGGGCGCCATCCCCACCCGCCTCCATCCCCGCACGGAAGCTCCCCGGTGATGGGGGGGCCCCGGTGCACGCCGCCTCCCGCCGCCGCCATGTCGCTTGGCGCGGGGCACGCTGGGAGCGGTAGTGCGGCGGCGGCAGCCGCAGGGGGGGCTCAGGGGACGCGGGACTACAACTCCCAGCGTGCACCGCGCGGGCGCGCTTCCGGCGGGCTGTTGCCATGCAACCGGGGCGGGCGGGAGCGGCCATGGGCGGCGGGAGCCGGGCGGGGAAGGCCCGGGCGGGAGCAGCTCCTTGCGGCAGCCCCGCTGCGCCCGGGGCTCGATGCCTTCCCCGCCCGGCGCAGGCAGAGCCGCTGTGTCCGCGGTGGGGCCGGGGGAAGGCCGCAGGGGCCCCTCCCGCGGCTGCTCACGCACCGCAGGCTCCGGGGGAGGTGAGGAGGGTGCTGGGAGCCGACACCGTCCCCGCCCGCCTCCTCCTGCTGCGTCTGGGGCCTCCCAGGAGGAAAAGAGCCCCTTTGCTGCCCGCTCTGGCCCCAAAGACAGGGGCGGCACCGCTGTGGGGCAGGGCTGTGGGGCACGGCTGTGGGGCAGGGCTGTGGGGCACGGCTGAGGGGCACGTTGGTGTTTCACCAGCGGAGGCTGCTGTTGTGCCGTTGCTATGCCCAAAGCCCGTGCAGTCTGTGCCTGGGGCCTGCAAAGGCTCCCAACACAGAATCCCAGCCGGGTTTGGGCTGGAAGGGACCTCAAAGCTCCTCCAGCTCCAAGCCCTGCCACGGGCAGGGACCCCTTCCACTGGAGCAGCTTGCTCCAAGCCCCTGTGTCCAACCTGCCCTTGAGCACTGCCAGGGATGGGGCAGCCACAGCTTCTCTGGGCACCCTGTGCCAGCGCCTCAGCACCCTCCCAGGGAAGAGCTTCTGCCTAAGAGCTCAGCTCAGTCTCCCCTCGGGCAGGTTCAAGCCATTCCCCTTGGCCTGTCCCTCCATCCCTTGTCCCAAGCCCCTCTCCAGGTTCCCTGCAGCCCCTTCAGGCACTGGAGCTGCTCTCAGGTCTCCCCTTCACGCAGCAGAGGGGCAGGATCCCCTCCCTGAGCTGCTGCTCACGCTCTGGGGGTACAGCCCAGCACACGGGGCGGGTCTGGGCTCAAGCGCTCACTGAAGCCGGGTCCTGGGGAGCTGCTCCTCACCCAACAGCTCAAGTCCTGCTCCTCAAGGCTGCTGCCATCTCGGTTATCATTACCAGTGATGCCGGCCCTTTGGCTGGGTCCAGTTCCCTCTGACCAGAGCAGCCACAGACCTGCTTTCACCTGTCCAAGAGGCTTTTAACATGGCCAAGGGGAAGGAAACAGGAGCCCGCAGTATTCCCATGGGCCCAGCCTTTCCCCCCTCCCTCCATCAGTAACTCACCTCCACGAAGCCAGAGAGCACCGAGTTTGCCAGTGCTCAGCAAAGCAGAGCCCCAGACACCGGCTCTGCCCCAGGCTCTCCCCACGTCAGACACCTTCACCCCCGGCACAGTCCGGTGCAAGCCCCCGGCTGCAGATCCGGTATTACCGGTGGTGGCGGTGCGGGCTCCATCCCGCCCCAGCACCCCCAGGAGCTCGCTGGGAGCACTGCGGGATCCCCGGGCGCGCTGCTTCCCCCTCCCTGTCCCCCTTTTCCCCTCCCCTAGAGCCGGGCCGCGGTCACGGCAGGTTCAGGTGAGCCGGAGGTGGAGCAGGGGAGGAGGGACCGAGCCCTGGTGCAGCCCTGCCATTGGGGGCACAGGGCAGGGGCTGGCACGGGAGCGCATAAACCGATCCCAAAGGGAAGGAAAGAGGAAGGAACCAGCAGAGAGCGGCACGGGGGCAGCGAGGGCAGGAGCCGCGGCCGGGCACGGGAAGCGCTGAAGGTAAATGCAGCTTCTCCTCTGCTTCCCCTTCCGTGCCCATGGCCTGGATGGGGCCAGCGGGGCTCTGCCCTCTCCCCACCAGCCCTGCTGCTCCTCGGCTCTCCCGCTTGCTCCCTGCCTCGTGTTCCCTTGCCGGTGCTTTGGGGGCACGCTGCAGCCCAAACCGTTGCCGACCACCACGCAGCGCCCATGCAGTGCTCTGCTGTGCTTGGAGCAGAGCCGGGTGTCCCCAGCGCCAAGAGCTGGGGA